TAAAAAGTACTTTAAACTGTATAAATAATGTAAAATTAAATAGACTTAAACAGCCAATCATACGAAAGTCTTCCTATAGGGATCGATAAATATACAGATAATCAGGCGAGTAATATATATATGAGGTCATATTCGAAAAACTGTTAATATAACCCTATTTTAGTTAAGGTTATATTTGAAAACTAGGTATTGAGTGCAATTAATGTAAAGACGAGCAAGGTCAAAAAATTTCAAGAAGCAAAGATCTGAAAACTTTCGAGGGCAAAAAAAAAAAAAGAAACTTATATTTTTAAAAAGGATAAATATATATCTAATATTTGAGATATGGACAATAGATATCAAAATAAAAGTGCTAACCCAAAAAAAAATTACTAAGATGCTCAAATATGACTTCACATATATTATTCGGGGTCCTAGATAACCTTTATATAATATTAATTCTTTTGATAAAAAAATTTTTTTTTATTTTTAGCTGGAGGTTTCTCATATAAACCAAAAGCCGATCCACCTGAACCAGTAAATGGTACTTTCAATTCGGAAACATTTGAGTACACGATTAAAGAAACTAGCGGTGCCATCTTTTTCATCAGTGATGTTCTCGAACGTTGTGAAAATGGTATGTTTGGAATGGTTACCATTGTTTCTGGAAGTCCAACAGCCAATAGCAACGATAGCTCTCCAACATCACAGAATGCTTTATCATCCAATAGCCCTGGCGCTAGCAATTCTAAAAGTACCGCCTCCACAACTTATGCTAATGCCTTCACTTTTGCCGTGATTTTGGCCTCAAGCATATTTGTTTCTTCATTCATCTTCTAACCTTTAGAATTTTGTGAATTTCATTTACATAAAGTTTTTGCATATTTGAAAACATAACTACTTATTATATAATACTAGACAACATGATATACAATTTTACATATGGGTAGTGTGACCTTGTACGTACTTAATTTAGCGAAGGTACTGTAATGGCCCCTTTCTAATGTTGATTATGCCAATTTTGGGTGTTGCCTGTTAAAAGCAGTAGATAGATATAAATTAGTTAGCCGATAGTTATAAATAAACACACGTTTAATCATAACATGGTATTATCCCGGTCACGTATAATTTTATAACATTAACGTACGTCCCGAGCTTTTTTTTTTGCCCTTTTTCCAGACGCCCCATCTTATCCCATTAAATATTACTATTTTTAACTTATAAAATTATGCCAAAGTTAAATTTTAAACATGTTCGAGAACTGAAAGCAGTTATTAAAATTTTGGGTTTGACTTTTTTTAAAACCTAAACATTTTGTCCGATTTTATTTGTTTCCAGCTACGGTACGATATATAGTGAATCGCATGTTAAGATAATAGTGAACTAATTATGTATCTGCCACACATATTAGTTTTCTAAACAACTTTTGAAGGAATTACTAACGGTTCTTTATATTTTTTTATATGTACAAACACAAGAGCGAGAGTTTGACCTTATTATATTTAAGAATCGTGTAATAATATGAAATTATGTGTCGCCTGTTGATTTCATGCGTCACTTTTGAATTCCATTGATCAACGAATGACTTATGTACGTCAGGGAAAATATAAATCTTTACTTTTTGACTCGTGTATCCCTTGGCATTCTAAAGGTCAATTTAGGAATTTATAATAGAAATAAAGTGGATAACTAAACGAAATATGCATTCGAAACCTCGTAAAATATACAAATAATTGTCCTGTAAAATTATTCACTTAGTTAAAATAAATAGTATTAA